AAGGCTTGGCCTTTAATAAAGGATGATAATAAATTTGGTGTCATGTGCAAAACGCCCTTGAAGCTGGTAACGACTTTCAAAGAGGATCTGACAACTTGCCAAGAGTTTTTGTTGTGTGCAGTTACACAGACATGTGATCTGCTGCTCTTTGTGTAACCATGGACACGGTGATTCGAGCTGCAGTACTTGTGTCGTTACATAAGTGATTGTGCTGGTGTGTCGCGCGCTCTGCTCGCCTGCATTCAGACATGTGCTACCCAGTGCGCCGCTGCACAGTGCCCATCCCCCCCTGCAGCCCGGGGTGTGTGGGCACGCCTCAGGGGTTATGTAACTGTTTCCAGTTGGTGTGGCGTCCACCTCCCTGCACCAGTGATCAGCTCAGAGCTCAGGTTACCTTTCTGAACATCTCTGCAGGAACGCCTGGCTGCTGGTGTTACAGATATGATGGTGGCATGCACTCCTTCAAGCAGTGCTGGGACTTTGATTTTATTTTTATGGATGTGTGTGCATCTCAACTATAAACACGTGCACACAGGTAGCTGTCACTGTGGGTAGACGCTCACTGGTTTGCAGAGGTGTGCATAATGAAAACTGTTTGATATTGTGCAGGATCATGGGAATCCATGCAGTGCATGCTGGTGTGTGTCTGAGTGTGAAACAAAACATACACATATACTGCAGCAGCCAGGTGTGGGCCAGAGCTGCTTCATGGAAGAACAACCTCAGCTTAGCCTGTTAGCTTTTGTGCTAGCGGCGACACTATATTGCCTTATATGTATTAGCTCGGTGCTAGTGCGATAAACAAGCCAATCTGAGTTTGTTCTTCCATGAAGCAGCTCTGTTGTCCTCCATCCATATTTTCAGTTCCAGGCTGAGTCATTTCTACCTTCTCCTCTCTGTCAACGCTCTCTGGTTTCATTTAAAAGAGTCGATCATCAGATATTGTCCAAGATTAACCTTCAGGGTGGATATAGCTCGCTAGCAGCCTCGCACCGAGGACCTATCCACGTCATCATTTACCCAGAATGCTTTGTGTGCAAATAAAATGGCGCCGTCCGTGTTAAAATATATTTTTAAACTTTTAGTTTAAAAATGATAAAACTGAACATCCTACAGTATTTTTACAGTCTTTATTTTACAGTTAAAATATATATTTATTAAATAAAATCTAATGTTACAACTAATCATGGATCCCTTTAAGGTGGCACGACAGCTGGCCCTGTTGTAGTTTGGTTTATGTCAGGAGTGTCAAACTCATTTTCACTGAGGGCCACATCAGCATCATGGTGGCCCTCAAAAGATCAGCTGTAATTAACTTTATTTAACTGACGTTTCAGGTTTAATTTGGACTAAACATGAAACGTCACATTCCTTGTCTCATTGCTGTGACTGAGCCCCACTAACAAACAATAACTCTACATGGTATTTCCTGTGTAGAAACAGTGTTTTAACATGTCCTCTCATAATCACTGCAAAGTGCTACGTGTACGACTGACTGAATGTAAAATAAATAAAACAGAAATACTATAAAAAAGTAAAAGTAAGAGTTTTACTCACTGTTGAGTCGTGGTGAGCAGCTTCCCACTTTCCCACTGGGAATTCTCACTGAAGGGGCGTTGCATTTCAAATTCACGACTTGTTTGTGGGGAATTCCCACTTCCTAGTAGAACTGGGCAATAAAGGTAGCAACGTGCATGCATATTTCTCCAGCTGCTGGCTACTTTTGAAAACTGTGCAGCTCCACCTAGTGGTAGAAATCTGTCATTTTGCAGGTAAAATATGGGAAGGTGTAGTGTATGGCCAATGCTGGCTTTAAAGCAGCTTATTAAAAAGACATTAATACTATGTTATTAAGACATTAATACTAGGTTAATGTCTAATGTTAATGTTAATAAGACATTAATGCTAGGTTAATGTCTAATGCTAATGTTAATAAGACATTAATAGGACAGTAATACTTGGTTAATCAACAGTATTACTCAGGAAGCCACAGTTACTCAAAGCTAAGAGCTCATGGTTAGGACAGGTATTATTATCCTTCACCTTTTAAATGTGTTCATTTTGTTGCATCGAATCACAAATTTAAAGTTTATCTTTGATATAAAATTGGTCACCTACAGGCCACCTTTGGCCCCTGAGCCTTGAGTTTGACATGCGGTTTATGTGGTCCTGGCCCATGCATGAACCACCTGTGGCCATTGCATTATGTGGGCCAGAACTGGATTAGACAGATTTTACTATGTGGGTATGAAGGGATAAAATGCCCACCATAATGTGTAGAATAATAAAAGTACAAAATATAAAACACTGGGTTAAAATGAGAGAATACAGAGGTTTAAACACGTAATCAGTTCTCAGTTTAGGTTAAATCCTCCCTGTTTAAAGATGGATTAATAATGTGGTTCATGAGATATTTTGCTAAAAGACAAGTGCAGATAAAACTTAATAATTCAATAGAAGAAAATAACAACACTGGTTGTTTTAATTCAGTTTAAACATGAACTTTACTTTCTTCTCTATTTTGATTGGAATCTACTGGGTTTTAAAAAGCTCATAAATCAAGAAAACTAAAAATAAACTAAAGAAAAAATCAAGGTCAACTAATCCAGCTGGCTGAAAAAGAAAAAAAGAAACGCATGTCCCAGATGCACCGCAGCACCATCTGTCATTAGGATCTTAGGTTATAAAAGTCAGTGAGGTAGAAACATTGTGACGGCTCTAACTCCACAGTTATGTCAGTGTTTCTACAGTCAACTCTTCCTGTGTGACAGTGCTCCTGTTACCTCAGACCTTTGAGCTTGTGTGTGTGTGTGTGTGTGTGTGTGTGTGTGTGTGTGTGTGTGTGT